CACTTTTTTGTTTATTTGTCACACATAATATTAAACGTGAAATGCGTTGAAAGATGAGAAACATTTAAAAAACTACTAGTGAATTTCCGTCGGAAATTTGTTAGAAATTTCCGAAATAAAACTGTTTGACAGCCTCAAATACTGCGCTCTGATTGGTTGAAATTCGAGTGAGAAAAATAGTCATTGAACATTACTAGCAATTGTCGAGATGACATTGATGTTACTACTAGAAATTATTTTTCTTATTTTATACAGGGTGTCCCATTTGAAACAATGCACCCAAATATCTTCTAAGGGGGGCAAGTGACAGGAAATTTTCAGGGATATAAGTTGTAGAGTTCCGAGAAGGACATTTGATGCATGCATTTTTTTGAGCTTTCACGATCATACTTGCAAACTGCAAGCACAAGGAGCTTCTTCTTAAATGGCAATCGCATTTTTGACCCTAATGAAACTTGTTCTCCTTGAGAAGTAGTTTTCAAATACCTCATCATTCATGTGAACTCCTTCGATTTTACTCGGAGAATGCGACGAAAATGAGTTCTGTTATCAAACTGAAGATTCACACACCCTTGACGCGTCTTGGCGTAGATAATTGTTCTGCTAATGCATTTACCAACCGTAGTTATGGAATGTAAACAATAACAAAGAATTCCCCATTACCTCGAGGATTCTGCTATTCGAAACAGCTTCAACTCAACCAGAATCGAGTTAGTATCCCCTGTAATTTCATTGAACACATCACGATGTATTCAGCGAGTGAAATTGTCGATATTTTACTGGTACTAGGAGAGTGCCGCGGAGTCTATCGAGCCGCTGACCAGACATATCGAGAACGGTACCCTAATCGCCGACGTCATCCCACAGATGCAGTAATTCGGAACATTGAAAGGAATTGTAGGAGAGGACGAACTTTTCGATGATAACAACCACAACAACAAGGTATTAATCCTGATGATCCACGAGCTGTTGCCATTCTCGCTATGATTCACATGAATTCACGCTAAATTCACATGATTCATTCTGAAAAAGTCTGAATCTTTAGTTTGATAACAGAACTCATTTTCGTCGCATTCTCCGAGTAAAATTAAAGGAGTTCACATGAATGATGAGGTATTTGAAAACAACTCATCAAGGAGAACAAGTTTCATTGGGGTAAAAAATGCGATTGCCATTTTAAAAAACGATCCTTATGCTTACAGCTTGCAAGTATGATCCTGAAAGCTAAAAAAATGCATGCATCAAATGTACTCCTCGGAACCCTACAACTTATGTCCCTGAAAATTTCCTGTCACTTGCCCCCCTTAGAAGATATTTGGGTGCATCGTTTCAAATGGGACACCCTGTATATTCAATCTTCAAAAAAAATTGTGAAGTTCTGAACGAAAAAGGCAAAAATTGAATATATCCAGGGCTCTACCCACTTCTGGATTGCCCCCAAGATGAGTGTTTATCTCGTCAGATTTTATAGGAAGAATAAAAATGGTAAAAATTGGGATGTAATCGCTGGACATCGAGTTAGTTAATTATTGTTTAAGGAATCGATTTTCATTTTATACGCTCCGGAATCGAAACAAATATATTCATCCTGCACTTCAATGAAGCTAGAGGACAGATGAAAATTTAGAGAGCTGAACAATTCAGCCCAGTTCAATAAAATCCGAGTTACGTTACAGAAACAAATAAATAGGAACGCAGAAAAAAATCATAGAGCTCACACGCAGGTTGTGATAGTAGATAGGCTAGGCGGGTTCTGTATAGTAGTTCACCAAATTTCCACCAGGGGCGTCACCGTTGTGGAAGGTTCTGGAATGGTGGCCCCACCGTCGCGGAACGTTCGAGAAGGATGACGTCATCGATGACTCATCGACTCTTGTGGTGGAGGAATCCCTCTAAGACCTGTTGGGGCTTGTATGAAATCTAATGACCTGTTGAAACTTGCAGGAAATCAGATATTCGCGCCACCATCGCGGAACGTTCGAGAAGGATGACGTCATCGACTGGCGTGGTGGGGGTATCCCTTTAAGACCTGATGGGACTTGTATGAAATATAATGACCTGTTGAAACTTGCATGGAATCGGATATTGGCGCCACAAGCTGTGGAAGGTTTGAGATGGATGTCGTCATCGACTCGCATGGTGAGGGAACCGTCCTGGTGGTACTTGTATTAAATATAATACTATGAAAACCTGTGGACACATGGATAAAATTGGATATTGCCGCCACAGTCGCGGAAATTTTGAGATGAATGACGTCATCGAGGAGTCCTCGACTTGCATGGTGGGAGAACTCCCCGTAAGTCCTAAACATGTGCAAATATTTAACAACATTTGCAAACATTTTGCAAACATCTGACCACATTTTCAAACAATTGCAAACATTTGGAAACCTTTGCAAACATTTTACAACATTTGCAAACATTTGCAAACATTTGACAACATTTGCAAACATTTGCAAACATTGGACAACATTTGCAAACATTTATAAACATATGCAAACATGTGCAAATATGTGAAAATAATGATTTGTTGTGTATTATACTAGTTTGTTGGAAAATCCCCAAGAATTCACTAGTGGCGCTTCAGTTTCACGGTAGAAATTAGAAGGACGACAAATATCGAATTAAATGATAGGCAAATAAGATAAAAATTATCAACGCATATAAATAATAGAAATAATGAATAAAGAATATTTTAGACGATTGAAATATGTAGAAAATACTTAAATGAGTTAGAAATAACAGACAAGATTTATTATCACCAAATGTGCTGTCCGGAAACCTTCCTCGAAATACTTTCCCTTAATCCTTGTACTATCTTTAATCCCATTGTAAATTCTTCGTCGCGTCCAGTATCTTTTAATCACCAAAAAACGTCCACTCCCTCTTTTCGATTTCGGGAATATTTAGTAAACCCTTTCATAAAACCCTACCATAAAACCCTACCATAAAACCCTACCATAAAACCCTATCGTAAAATCCTCGAAAATTTCAGTTTCCGAAAAACTCTCTCTCCTCTTTTCTAATCCCTGAAAACTCTCTCCCCAACACAATTTCTTCTGCCCCATCCTAATCCCCCGAAAAAGTCTTCTCCCTCTTTGGGACACATCGAGGGGCCAGATGGGGCCCTGCGCTATCAGTCACATGACTGGAGTAGGGGTAGGCCCGAAGGCCGAGAGATGTGGGGATGTAGCATACCCCCGATTGGCTCCCTACCCCTCCTTGGGAGTTGGAACTAGGACTTCGGTAATTTCAAGCAAGTAGCGTAAGAAGAAACTGTTAGAATTAAGATCACTTGTCTCTCCAAGTTCAAAGAGAACACATCTCCAGAAATATTTGTATCCAGAGTTTGCAAACAATCTCCGAGTTTATTTTAATCAATTAAAATTCAGTTATTCCAATCATGCACAAGTGTTCAAGTGAATTATTCGACTTTTTAAACCTTCTCGCTTTCAGCGAGCAGAGCGCTTTAGCGCTTCATGGGCAACTTACCTGCTCTGTTTGAAACTAAAATAACTAGACAGAAAAGTGACATACAACAGATTGAATATTTTTTAGATGAATGACATCGGTGAGTCACTCAGACTGATAACTCATCAATGTACGAGGTGGGCGTTTCCTCTAAGTCCTGCTGAGACTTGTACATTCGAGAAGGATGACGTTATTGCGGTGGGAGTTCCCCCTTAGTCCTGTTGGGACTTATATGATACCATAATGACCGGTTGGAACTTGTAAGAAATTGGATATTGGCGCTGCGATCGCGGAACTTTCGAGAAGAATGATTTCATCAATGATTCATCGGTTAGTGGGGTGGGGGTGTCGGCTGAGTCCTGTTGAGACCTGCATGAAATAAGATACTCGATTGGTCTCGAATATGCTCGATGGTTCCTCACTGTTCCATGAAGAATCATACATTGGGAGTTGGAGTGGGGATAACTCGCGTACTCTGCACGATCCACACTCAATACAAAGTCAAGTTCAGTTTACTGAATCTCAACTCGTAGCGTGAAGTTTAACTCATGGTGTTTGAAATCGTTATAATATTGTTTTCAATAGTTTTACAATTCTCCCAAATTTGCTATTGATCAGATTGCTCGAGATCATAATCGTTTCAGACATCGAATAAGTTTATGTGAAGAAATATTGAACCCTATATTATAAAAACAACATAGACAAACTCTTTTTGAAACTCGTTTCACATAGTTCTAAGTTATGTTTTATGAGAAAAGGATGTGTATAATGATAAGATCAGCTCAGTTCCACCGTATGTTCTCACGGAAAATGATGTAGTGTCTCATGGAAAAAAATCGCTTGAGATCATGAGCTTAAAAGTTGAATAAGTTTTCATGAAAGAATATTGAATGCTATATTATCAGAAGAATATAGATGGAATATATTTAATACTCATTTTAAGATAACTGCATGACAATTGTAAGAAAACAAGTATACATAAAACAATAAAAACGCTTTGTTAAATGTTGAAAAAGTTTATTCAATCAATAGTGTTCAGCTCCATGGTGTTAATATAAGTGGTAGGAATCAAGGGAAAATTGGAGCAAAGAATAACAATGCTGGTTAAATTGTCATTTATGCGACGTTTCGCTGATATATTTCAGCTTCCTCAGCCTCTGGAAATTAAATGAATTACAATTACAAAACGATTAACATTAGTAAGCCCAACAATGTCTTGGAAATATATAAGTCTGATTCTAACCAAACAATTGATTCTAACACTCTATGTTAAAAATTAAAATTAAAAATCAAAACCAACTGAACAAATACCTTGACTTAAACCGCATTTATTCCGACTATTAAATAACTCATCGTATAGGGATTCAGATACATTGAATTAACAAAAACACACAACAAACAAGTGTACAGCAGTTCAACACCATCGTGCGAATGACAGCCGATGTCCGATGTCCCCCTGGTCAGAAGTTGATCCATTAACCACTCTATTAGTGGCGCCACGTCCTGGATCCCCACTCAACACGTCGGTAACTAGGGTACCCCGAGAGACTGATGTTTAAACTTCCTCAGCAAGCTGTTGTACATCGAACTTAAATGTTGCGTGTCCTCCCGTTTATTCACCGTCGTGTTCAAACTGATGTGTATCATTTCGCTGATGTTCCTCTTCCTCCAATTTTGTTCCACGTCAAGGATAGACGTAGCTTCAAATATGAATCGATGTTCAGTGCTGACATGATGCAATGCTAACGCGGTTTTCTCATCTTTATTTTGCTTCTTAGGAACACAATCATTTTTATGCTGCCTAATCCGTACACCGAGAAGTTGTTTCGTCTGACCCACGTACCATTTCTGGCACTCAGAAGGGATCTTATTTATCACACCTGCCCTCTCCAACGGTGGTGTGGGATCTTTAAGCTTCGAATAAAGATCTCCTACTCTCCTGAGGTTGTATGGTACAAACCTCGAATCTGTGAGCTTTAAACATCTGTTTAAACGATGCCACAGCCCATTAATCAGTGGAAGTCTGAAACTACGTTTAGTGTCCGGTTCAACTCTAGTAGTATGTCCATCTCTCCGTTCTTGAAAGCTATTCACACACTTTGAGATGAACTTTACCGGATAGTTGTTGTTGACAAGCACCTTCTTCACTCGGTTCAGATTCTCCCTGTGGAAATCCTCATGGCTCAGGCCTATTGCTCGGTGAAGCAATCCGAAAACTACTCCAATCTTCTGAGAGGTTGGATGGTTGGACTTAAAATTGATAACTCGTCCCGCGCTAGTCGGTTTTTGGTACCAATTTGTTTTCAGTAGCCCGTTGCTCTCACGGAAGACCTGGACGTCTAGAACGTTGATCGTGCTGTCAGTTTCCATCTCCACTGTGAACTGGATTCGCCGTTGGACCAAGTTGAACAGGTCTTTCACTCTCTCAACCTCATTTCCTGGAACTGGGAGAATTGTATCGTCCACATACAGTTTGATCCAGGGAATCTCGAAGGGTAATTCGCTCACAACCTTGGATATGACGTAGTCCATAACAAGGCTAGCTAGGATTGGGCTAGCAGGATTCCCCATGCTTCTTCCATCCACTTGGTTGTAAATCTCATTGTCGAAAGAGAAATAACTCGCCTCAAAGCAGAAATTAACTAAGTCAATCACAACATCTTTCGGAGCTGGGACCAATGGAGCCCATATATCCTATTTCTCTTCAATTATGTCAGTGACTAACTGCTGCGGTATGTTGATAAATAATGAAACTGCGTCTAACCCATACGATGAGTTATTTAATAGTCGGACTAAATGCGGTTTAAGTCAAGATATGTGTCCAATTGGTGTTAATTGTTAATTTTAATTTTTAACGTAGAGTGTTAGAATCAATTGTTAGGTTAGAATCAGACTTATATATTTCCAAGACATTGTTGGGCTTACTAATGTTAATCGTTTTGTAATTGTAATTCATTTAATTTCCAGAGCCTGAGGAAGCTGAAATATATCAGCGAAACGTCGCGTAAATGACAATTTAACCAGCATTGTTATTCTTTGCTCCAATTTTCCCTTGATTCCTACCACTTGAAGTTTATTCATTTATTCAAATGTGTACGTTATTACCATTGCTATTATTATTATGAGAAACAATCTGAGAATATATATATAATTACACAAGTGGTTCGAAATAACCCCAAGGTAGAATATCTGTTGCATGGAGTGAAATCATACGTTTATCATCTTTCCAACTCAAAACCATCTTCTCCTAGCAGATTGTGTGCAACTCATGTTTTTTGCTCTGGATTCAATACTAATTCCTGATAATGTGCTCATTACCAAAAAGACAATTTTTATAATCGTTGAATGTGCTTTTCCTGAGTATAGCAGCTTTAACACCTTCAGGTTTCTTCTTAGCTTTCACATCATTCAACATCCTAAATGCGTATGTTTTGGCTCATAGACCTACAAATTCAAACGTGATTCGATCATTATTCTCATCCTTCATGAGTCCTAATACTTTCTTCTTTGCGAAGGGCATTCTATACTCATTATTCTCTTTATAATCAGATGTATCGAAGATGTATATGTCTTGTTTTATAGACTTATAGATATTTGGTACTTGAAACAGATAGAGTAAGCTATCTGTACCGGAATATATGAGTTTTGCTAAGTCCCCAAATATACATTTAACGTAGTTCTAATAGAAGTAATATATAATCGTTTTGGATGAATCGAGGATCATAAATCCAATATGGATAGGTTTCTTGAAATATACGGATGTTCCATTCATTCATTATCATCAAACACCATACAGCTATGGAAATTGGGTTTTGCTATCCATGCTTTTGCTCCATATCGACCACTCCAATGTGTGAAGAGCTTAATATCTTTCTGTTTTCTAGCATTTTCCATAGTTTTTCCGAATACAGCATTATTCATCAAATTATGAAATTTCTTTTCGAATTCATTTTTTGACTGTTGTCTTTTCATAGTATTCAGATCAATATAAGATTCCAACCAGGGCTACTTATAGAATTTTAAAACACGATGAACGAAGAACTGTATATTGCTTTAAGTTTGCGTAATGTATCACAAACTTTTCTTTCGGAAAGAGAGTGGTCGGTAAATTAGTATGTTTGCTCTCTGGAGGGATGAAATATTCCGGATCATCTTTATACAGGGTCTCCCGCAACCGACCTTTCTCCTTCGAGGGTATTGAAGAGGGTGCTTTTTGAAGTGGAAAGTTCCTCTTCCATTTTTGGATCCTAGCATTTTTTTTTGGTCTGACTTTGAACGAAATTTGAACGAAAAAGGGGGGAGGATTGCGGAATGAGACTGAGCCCAAATCATGCCACCAAAAGGGGGTTGAGTATTGTTTTTTCAATTTTTTCCTCTCACGTCGCACAGATTGAGGATAATTGAACATTTGTGACGGGGTGGAAGCCACCCCCACACGTATGGGGGAGATCAAAATTCTCACACAGTGAGGGGACGGGATTGAGAAGTGAGTCCGAGCCCAAATCATGTATCCAAAAAGGGGGTGAGTATTTTTTTTCGCTTTTTGCTCTCAGTTCGCAGAGATTAAGGAAAATTGGACATTTCCAGGGGGTGGGAGCCACCCACCCCCCTCCTTATCGGGGAGGTCAAAATTCTCATACAGTAAGGGGAGGGGGATGAGAAACGATTCTGGGCTCAAATCATGTGTCCAAAAGGGGGATGAGTATTTTTTTTTTCAATTTTTTGTTCTCACTCCGCACGTATTGAGGTAAATGAAACATTTGTGAGAGGATGGGAGTCACCCCCACACGTATCGGGGAAGTTGAAATTTTCACACACTGAGGAGAGGGGGTTGAGGAACGGGTCTGGCCCCAAATCATGGTTCCTAAATGGGGGTGAGTATTTTATTTAATTTTTTGTTTTCACTCCGCACGTATTGAGGTAAATGAACCATTTGTCTGGAGGTGGAAGCCACCTCCGCACGTACCAGGGAGGTTGAGAAATGAGTCTGAGCCCAAATCATGTGTCCAAAATGAGGCTGAGCACTTTTTGCTTTCACTTCGCATGGATTGAGGCAAATTAACTCTCTAATGCTTTTAGGCCACGAAAGGCCACTTGAGGTACGGGAGAAGAGCCCGTGCGTTCTTACGGAGAAACGGCGAAATGGGGAGAACTTTAAGAGCATTAGAGGGAAAACATTTTTCCGGGGGTGGAAGCCACCTTCACACGTATTGGGTTGGTGCAAATTTTGGCACAATGAAAAAGGGGTTTGTGAAATGAGTCTGAGCTCAAATCATCCCTCCGAAATCACCCTTATCCATCAATCCACATGAAATCTTCAGACTTTCTCGTGCCTTCAAAATCTTTTGCTGTGCCACGTCAAATTTTTGGTGGCCCTGAAAAGGGCCGATTGTGATAGATTTTCATGCTGGCAGTTGCTGGAAATGGCCTCCTCCAGCAGCCACGTAGGCATGAATCCTCCTGAGAACCTCCACCTTAACATACTGGGGCATTTCAGCATCCACATTGTTTGCGATTGCATGTAGTCGCGCCACTAAGTCCTCCACGCTCTCTGGCTTTGACTCATAAACTTGTTCCTTCAGATAGCCCTAAAGGAAGAAGTCTAGCGGCGTCACATCAGGGGAACTAATGAAGATAGAAATCCATTATTTTCCGGTACAATTTTTTTTCTCGAGTAGTCTTACCGTGCAGGCCAGTAGAGCGGGCCATAGCAACTGAACCAACGTCTAGGAAACTGCTGATCCAGGTAAGCAGTAACTTCCCGAGCACAGTGAGGTGGTGCTCCATCCTGCTGGAACCAGCGAGGTCTACCTGCAACAGGTACATCGTCCAGCAATTCCGAAAGCGTCTGTCTGATAAATGCGAGGTACTGTTGGCCCGGAGAGGAGCACAAATGGAAATTGAAAATATTTGTGAGGGAGTATGTCGTATGTTTGTACGTGTGTACTATGGCGTGAAAAATTTCAGCCCTATATTTTTTTTCTCACTCTTACGCCAAAAAGTGTCGGCGTATTAAAAGATGTTCAAAATGTCGTATAATTTACTGCAATCGGTCAATATTTAGGTGTCGCTCACAGGTCATTCGTGTTTCTAATTCAAAATACACGTAAAAAAATTAAATCAACTTTAAAGTCTAAAAATAGTCATAAAATATTCCATTCCGGGTGAGATTTTCCGAGGGGGGTTCAAAGAATATCTAAAGGGAAGATAATGAACGGTTTAATGATTAAAAAAAATGTTGTTCATGTACTTTGTGGCCATGGGCTAGTATGAAATAAGCACATTCTGCATATCCCGCTTCATATGGATTTATCTCGATAACAAATGATTTTACGAGAAAAAAATCAAATAACGCTTTTTGTTGGAAATTGATTCAGCTAGAGACGATCAAATTTCACGAGGGTCACAAGGGGATGGACAAATGTCACGGGAGTGAAACGCCACAAGGGGATGAGGGCAAATTTCACGAGGGTCACATATGAATGGTCAAATTACCAAGAAGGTCAAACGTAAGGAGGGTCATGAGGATCATGAGGGTCACTAGAGGACGGTCAAATTTTATGAGGATAAAACGTCCCAAGGTTCACGAGGGAATCGTTAAATTTTCAATAGCATCAAACGTCACGAGAGTTACAAAGGAATAACGAAATTTGACGACGGTTGAATGTCACAATGGCCATTTTTTACGAGGGTCCAACGTCACAAAGAGATAAGCAAATTTCACGAGGATCAAACATCGTGAGGGTCACAAGAGTCACACAGGAAGACGATGCTGAAACGATCCTGAAATGTCGAATGGAACTATCGCAGACTCTCAATTGTAAGAAGGATAATGGTATTAATATTATTCAGCTATGCTGAATTTTCCATGTAATTATTTCGGACCCTGAAATGTTGACGATCCGCTTGTGACGTTTGACCCTCCTGAAATTTGATCATTCCCTTGTGACTCTTGTGTCGTTTGACTCTCATGAAATTTGACCGTCCCCTTATAACCGTCGTGACATTTGACTCTCGTGAAATTTAATCATTCCTTTATGACCCTCGTGGCGTTTGACTCTGATGAGGTGTAACGTAAAAAATCCAAGAACTTCCTGAAACGCTTAAGCTTTATGATCAATGATAATTCCTCGACTCCCAATTTTTTCCAAAAATTACTCATTTATCTTGGGAGAAAGTGATGTTAGGGAAAAATGTCATTAAACCTTTTTTGTAGCTGACTGAATTTTAAACAAAAAGTGTTTTTTTATTTTTTCTCATTAAATCACTTGTTATCGAGATAAATCCATATGAGGCGGGATATGGAGAATGTGCACGTTTCATACTAGCACTTGGATGAGCCTGAAACTGGCGAAAGATTCTGGCGAACGATATGCACATCTTTTGGAGAGCACTGTACCACCGGGGACCGTGGGTGGGGGTCACTTTTTCACCCGTAATTTTTGAAAATAATTGGGGGCATGACAAAATATGTTTGTTGAACCCTCATCCCTCCGTATGCATGCATTTTTTCAATCAAAAAAATCATTCTTTTATCAAAATGAATAATTCCGAAAATTGGAATTCGCGAG